AGCGTGCTGGAAACTCGATTGGCCGTCCTATTCACTGGCCCGACAAATTTGATCCAGATAAGCTCGTACGTCCCTGTGATAGTGCGAGGCTAAATGATGCTACCCATAAATCCCGGTTCACGTTTTACCATCTCCTGAATCTATTCACAAAATTGCAACCTTTTGATGTAAAGAATCAGTGGTGACTCGTACCCAGAATTGTATTGATGTTGCAGGTCACCAATTTGAACAGTATTAACATTTGTTATTTATGTTTCATTTACATTGGACTTTCAGCTTTCTATTTTCCTGAAATTTAACTTTGTAGAACGGTAAATAAATTTTCTATAGAAGTTCAAAGTATGTATACATTTTTTTGAAGCACCCTGTATATACACATATATTACCTCCCCGCTCCGTACGCGTTCATCCCAAGCTCTCAAGAATTCCACCACGTGATGATGTCCAAAAGTCTCGGCCTCATCAAGAGGAGCATTGCCCCAGCGATCGTGGGGATCATGAGGTACCCGTCCTTGCTCCAGAAGGAACGCCACGCAGTCAAGGTGACCCTCGGCAGCCGCCAAATGCAAAGCGGTACGACCGTCGTAATCTGACAGGGTGATGTCCATACCGGACAGCTTGTGCCTAAAGTCAAAAACAATGTTATAATTAAAACGCCATAATATTTATCTATAAGTCGTGCACCTTGCCTTGCCGAAATTGAAAGATGATTGAAATATTCAAATTATCACAAACCATATAATTGTTATTGCAAAAAGACAAACAAAAATGCAATAATTAATTCGATCATATTTGAAAGAATTAATACCTGCGTAGGGCTGTAACATCACCGCTAGCTGCTGAGAACAGAAGATTAACAATGCTCAACCCTTTGGTCTCATATCTGTGTCTTCTTGGATCTTTTTTGTTGCTGGCGTGTTTCAAGTTATCGTACCGATGAAAATTGAAAACTTGTACCAATTCCTAAAAACATTTATAATTATTTCTTGTAATTTCATAAATGTTTCATTAATACACAGAGTTTATATTTAAATGGATGCAGTATAGCACTCATAAGCACATTTTTTATTATACAACTTGAATACTCAATTTTATCTTTTCACTTTCTGAGAAATCTCCCAGATTAATCAATATTTTTAATCAGTTCATAAATTGTATTCTTACTTCGCAGAATTGAACTCCTCGGCAACTGTTTCCAAGTGGATCCAAGGGTGGAGACCATGTAAAGATGCCCATAACATTTGGTATGACTACCAACATGCCCCCACAGACACCGGATTTTGCTGGTAATCCGACCTGCAATTGCAGTTTCAGATTAAAAGTATTATTAAATGCAATAATACGGCAAGCAAAACATTTCAACTCCGTTTAGTATTTCTTTTATTATTAGGTTTCGATTAAACTAAAAAAAAATAAACTACAAAATAACGGGAGCACACTGTCATACACCAGCAGGTATCTATTATTAAATTTAATGAAGGTAATAACCTTAAACGCAAATTGTCCAGAGTAGTCATACATTCCGCAACTGTGCATTAATGATAAGACATCTCGGACGACATCTGGTCTTAAGACTTTTTCATCAGTTATCGGACAAATTCCTCCATTTGCTAAAGTGGCAGCAACTACTGCCATGCTGTCGCAATTTGCCTCCATGGAGCAACACTAAAATAAGAAAAATTAGATAATTTGGTTATTTCATTAGAGAAATTTTAGTTTATAACTATATGAAATAATATAATTTAATTCATTTGAGACCAAACTATGTATTCGTATGAAACCGATTTAAAAAATTAAACAACCTTACAATGAAGTTCGGTAAGAACACGTGTTCGTTAAGTTTACCAAACGATTGGCAGAGCTGTTTCTTACAAATAATTTTATCGATCTATTATTCAAATCGAACGCTCCGTTATCTCAAAAACTGAATTATCATTTTTTGCGCCTTTGCCAAAAGCTAATCAGCACGTCTCCGAATCAAAAGATATCGCATGTTTTTTAGTTATTCAAATCGGTTGATCCGTGTTCCCGAAATCGTCGACAAAAATTTGTATCCGGACACACATACATACATCAATTCGGCAAAATGTTCAGAAATCTTTGAAACATAAAAACCGTAAAGATAAATAGAAATGCTAATTTACAATTTTTTGCGATTACTATAACTTACCCTCCCGGAAATAAAATAAGAAAAAAAACGCCACTTGGCGGTCAAATATAATTATTAGACATATGCACATCAGATTGAGATATTTCATAGAGTTTTTAAATAAAAGTAGAAATTTTGTTTACATTTCTGTGGGCGCTGCGCTGACGCGCTTCGATATTTCGTATCTAAAGCGTCTATGCAGCGCAATTGCTTTAAAAAAATCAGAATTAAAAAAAAATAGATGAACATTTTTTAAAAAAGTGCAATTTTTCTTAAAAATCAAAATTTTTCAAAATAGTCTTCATAATTGTAAAGCTTTAGAAAATAGATTAAGGTACGGAAAGTTCCAGACATTTGTCATAAGGCACGATTCCATACACCACTATTTATCTGATATATTTGAATACAGTTAGCTAAATATAATTCTATACAACACTGGCGTCTACTTACTTGAAAATAAAAGTCCATGCATTCACGTAAATTAGTTTTATCCGGGTAGCACTTGTGTTCCCTCATGTAAAAACCAAGAGCGTAATTTCTATCGGCGGCTTCGCGTTCCGACAAGAACACCGCGTTGTTGAAGCCGAGACTCTCTCCACCAGCCAATCTCTGCACGAAAAATATTTAATTTCGTTAAACACCTCTTTTTATAAATACAAAACAATAACGAATGCATTGGGCGAATGCAAATCTGTGAACTGACAATAGGTTAAACTCCAACTCGACTCAGAGAAGTTTAAAATCGATAGCACTGCCGGGATAATATGGATATCTACCTGCTAATATCTGTACAAAAAATGAATAAATGCGCTGAAAATTAAGTTTTTTTATACGCTCGAAGTTTATTGCGTGACATTTTCATTGCTATTTCACACCGTAAGGTTTTTTTTCAATCGCAAATATATTTTCAATCTAAAATGGATAACACATTATATTATCCTAAAACCTAAAGCATCTTATCGAATATTATCTCATTGTTACAAAGTTTATACCAATATATCAATTTTATAATTAACGAATTCTATTATTAAAGTTTACCTTAAAATATGTGGTCATATAGTCGAACTTCTCAGCTAGAGTCATCTCAGGTTTGACTAAAGTTTTCAATAACGAACAAACCAATATCGCTCCAGCGTTTATCATAGGATTATGCGGTCTTTCTACGAATAGGAGAATCGGGTTGATTATAATGTTTTATTATGAAAAGTAAGCAAAAAAGTCAATACTTACTATTATAATCTAGTACGAGTTCATTAAAGTTTCTACCACTTGGTTCTTGACCGACATATTGATGAACCGTCGCCTGGCCTAGCTTTTCCAATGCTATGGCATATGTCAACGGTTTACTAAAATAATACATTATTAAAATTAATTTGCTTTAACAAATTAAACAGAATTATTTATTAATTAAGATCCAACCAACTCGAATCAAGTGATTCGAATCATTCGAATCAAGGCCTCAACAAGTTGATTCGAAGCTGAGAAATATTTATTGAGATACAACCTGTATGAACATAAATGTTAATAAATATATAAAAAGCAATGTTAATAAATATATAAATAAAAAAATAAACTTGCTTACATGTGAGATACAAGCCATTCGACTTCTCAATAGTTGGCCGAATACGTTTATAAAATAAAATAAAATATCAATAGACCCAATAGATTCGAGATTCCAAATATTTCAACCGTTTTCAAAATTAAATTATTTTTAATGATTTTTGTAATATATTTCTTGATTTTATGTTTACAATTATAATCTTTACTTTGTCGAGTATATTGGTTAAACTCAACCATATGGTTTTTACCTACGATAAAAATATTTTTATCGTAAATAGTCACATTTACAATAAATATATCGATGTTTTTTTATCTTATTGTTAGCTTTTATTTGTACGAATCTGGTTTCCCTCTGATTCGAATCATTCAATCAGTAAAGTTTCAAGTCGGCACTTCACTAGAAAAATCAAGTATTAAAAACAGAAATGTAATTGAAATCGTTAACAAATCCATTTTCAGTGCTTAATAACTTGGGCCATTCGTTTAATAAATTTTATGTGACAGAGTAAAGAACACGTAAAAGGTCCTATTCACTGAGCTTTTCTGGCCCAGCTCTTTCTTTTTATACAATAATTTATTTTATAAATTAAATGATTCCATTTATTTATTTAAAAAACTTCTTAAACAATTTTTAGGAAAGTTTCGTCAAGTTTTATATTGCAGTTTTATAGTAAATTGTGCTGTATGTAATATATTAATTTACCTGCAAGATTGTAAAGTAAATGGCACATTGCAATCTCCAATCGACAACCTTTGTCCGTCAATGGTGCAGACGCTCACACCCCAAAAATCAGGGTTCATGCGAGCCAGCTGTGGAATGTAGCTAGCAACCTATGCAGAATATAACAGATATTGCTATACATGCTATACAGATTAATAAACAATGTTTATTAATCTGTAATGTTTGCTCATAATAGAAAGTGAAATTTAGCGTACAATCAAACATTTGAGAAATGAACAATGGTCACAATTTCAGTAAAGCTGTGGTTTGCTTTGAACTTTGAAATATATCGTATATACAAGGGTGGGCTGAAAAGTTTACGGCTTAACAAATTTTTTTTTTCTTATTTTTTATTTGTATTTGAGTATTAACTCCTTATAACTCTACACACTACCAAATAGTGTCCAAAATAGTACCATCCAAATAGTACTTGGCAAATTTCATTGCAAAAATCATTTGACATTTGGCAAAAATCTATGTGCTCCGAGGGCTGTTTTTAGATGAGAAAATAAAAAGAATTAGCGTTTTAGCAGGGGCAGAACTGGTGAGAAAGGTAGATGGTCAAGCTGTTCCAACGGGTGGATTTTTGCCACAGCAAAGGCAACGGCGCGTTGTCCTGGTGAAACAGGATTTTCTATTCCTGCCAATGTGGTTCCCGCAATTTATGTCTTTAGTAAGTCAAGCAACGATGCGTAGTATGCTTTCGTATTGGTTTTTACCTTTTGAAGATAGTCGATTAAAATAACACCATGACTAGCCATAATAACTGCTATTGTTCTTATTGTAGCTGTTTTCCTCTTTGCAGTCCACCGTTGTTTTAAGAATATAATGGTAAATCAAAGATTCATCTACAGTATTTAATCGACACCAAAAATCAGATCTATTACGCCTAAAGAACGTTGAAAATGTCCATTCGAACATGACATTGGCCTAATGTGAGCAAACGCGGCAGCAAATACGCGAACGGCTTTTTCATGTCTAACTTTTCTTTTAATATGTGACAAACAATTTATTTGACAAAATGAATAGCTGATCAAGTTTTTGGAACGGAAGGTCCGGCGGTTTCGGAGATCTAATAAAAAAAGTAAAAAAAAAACGTCATTTGGCGGTCAAAAATGATCATTAGACGTATGCACATCAAATTATGAAATATTTTATAGAGAATTTAAAAACAAGTACAAATATTGTTTACGTTTTTATGGGTTCCGTACCGATTGCAACGCGGCGCTTACGCGCTTGGACATTTCGTCTTTAAAATAGCTACGCAGCGCGTGCTTTGAAAAAAAGTTCTAAATTTTCAAAGTATATAAAAAAAATTTTTAAAGTCAATTTCTTTCAACAATTTAAGAATTCTCAAAAATTTTAAAGCTTCTTCAAAAATTTAAATTTTTGGTGCGGGAAGTTCCATCAATTTACCACAAGGCACGATTCCATGCACGAAGAGTTTGAATTTCTCATTCGAATCACATGACAAAATATAAAATAGAATATAACTAAAATATTTATAATATCTATATTTCCACGCTATGATGCGATAGTTCGCATATTTTCATCGCCACCGACTCCTGCGTTGATCCCAATGTAAATAGACAACAGAATATATTCGCACATTGTACCGTATCTGTTTAACAATCAAAATTCAAACAGATTATAATTTTTCGTGATTTATCACTTCGCAAACTAACTTTACTGGTATGATATACAACATCGCTATAACAAATATAAGAATGGCTCATGGTAAAATTACATTTAGACGCGAGCTCGTAAACAGAACCAGTTAATGCTCACGTAAACAGTGGAAAATGAGGAAAGTAAAATTAGATTTCGAATTCATATTGCTTATACGATTAGAACAACGGGATTTAAATCAGTGATTCCGCGTTCGTTACCCGTTTCGAGCAGCCTGATGTCACGCAGTAGTGACATCGGTTTTGACTTGGAAATATAGATAGCAATATGTTTCGAAGTGAAAATAGCCCTTACTCGGCATTACTGTATCACATAGTGAACGACAACTGTTTGAGTTGCTATCTATAAAGAAACCGATGTAGTTTGTAAAAGGAATTCATCACAATAGCTCATAAAAGTTCTGATTACTGTTCAAATAAAATAACTAGTTGGTATTGGAATTTTGCCTTAAGGCAAGTTAACATGAACTTCCCGATATGTGTAAATAATCGATTTTATTAATAGAAAATAAATTAATTTATGAATGATTAAAAGTATTCCGAGTGGATTTATTGAACACATAATTGAAAACGAACTAACACATTAAATCTCGGAGTATTTTCTAAAAACAAATTTTCAAAAATCAACAATTTTTATAATTGAACCAGTTTCTATAGGACTTTAATGGTTTAGTATTTTCATTAAGACCAAGTACTTTATCGTTATATCAAGTAAATCGTCCGATTTTAATTTTAACAAACCTCAAAAAACTACTAATTTTCTCAAATTTTGATGAATTTTTAAAATTAAACTACTTATCGTAAGACCGTAATATTTTAGTAAGTTCTATTAGACTATGATATATATTGCCAAAATAAGTTCCATAAAAATCGGCTTAATTTTTTTTTAACAGATAATTACAAGAAAACAGCTCGGTAGATTTCACCTTTCCCAACTAATATCTTTCGAAGAGTTTTTGATTTTTTAATATCGATTCGGTATGAAGTATGAGCTTAAATGTGGACGAAAAGTTTTTTCCAAATTACAAATAAACGGTTCGGCAGATCGTCGCACAAAACTGACAAACGATAGTCCTCATTCAGATACATCAAATGGTTTTTAAATTTCTGAAATCGGTTCAGGCGTTTTTGAACAAACGTCGATAAAAGGTCTAATTTTGACAAATGCGAAAAAAGATACTAATTTTTGCATACTTTGAAGAATTTTTAAAATTAAACGACTTGTCGTAGAGCCGTAATATTTTAGTATGATTTATAAGACTACTAAATCATAAAAATTGTTCAAAAAAAATTTAACACTTTATTACAAGAAAACGACCCGGCCAATCTCTACCAAAAACTAATCAACACAATTCCCAACCGATATCTTTCGAACAGTTCTTGAATTTTCAAAATCGATTCAGGATTGCGGGCTAAAACGTGGACGAAAAATTCTTCACTTTTCTGCGATTTACAAGGAAACGGCTTGGCTGATCGTCGCGCAAAATTTATAAACGCTAGTCCTCATCGAGATACATCGAATGGCTTTTTAATTTTTGAAACCAGTCCAGCCGTTTTTGAGAAAACGTCGATTTACGGCAAGAAATCTGTTCACACACACACACACATACTTTTTCCAAATTTGGTCTCATTCGATTCAGAATGGCTTGAAAGGTCGAGAAAACATATAATTAGCGAATCGGATTTTTTGATGAAAACAAACTTCTCCTTCCTTTGTAATTACAAGGTTTTTGAACAGATTTTGCTACTGCATTAAAAATATAGATCTGATTATGGTATCAAATAAAAATGGCATTTTGGCTAAATTTGGCTTAAAATTAAATATATTGCAATTAGAAATGAAGGGCTATTGGGTTGCTTTTCATGGTCACTTGAACAGTGGAATATGAGGAAAGTAAAATTATAATTCAAATTTATATTGTTATAGTTTTTAAATTGTTGTATAGTTTCTTTAAAAGAAAACACGTTTAAATATTTATCTGCAAGAAATTAAATCAGCTTTTGTTTCCATAAATTCATTAGTTTTAGTTTTCTACAACTTCTCATTTCTTGGATTATATTATTTGCTTTATCTTTAATTAACTAAAGCCAATCATTTTTCCATGAAAATATTTTATGCGAATACCAAATATTTCTCATAATGTTTTATAATATATCAAACTTACACAATCTATTTCAAACATAAATAAAAGGCTTACGTTATCGTAGCCTTTTTATATTATATTGAAGCAAACGACATTAAAAAGCATATTTAAAAAACATATTACCATGCTAAACTCACCTGCAATTTGATACTATATTTGATTGCATTATAACAAAATTGTTATAATAATGTTTTTATATTTTCAAAAAAAAATAATATCGTGCCCGTCTGGAGAATATTTATTTGACATAGACATGAAAATTAAAAAACCACAATATTTAATTAAATAGTGTAATTAAATAATAATAAATTCGTGTCAAAAAATGGTAAATACCTACTGATCAATTGTTTGATATTTAGAACTTTGATCAATAAATCCTAGAAGAGCTCGATATTAATTCGTATATAGCATTAATATACGATTATATAATCGATATATATATATATATATATATATATATATATATATATATATATATATATATATATATATATAATTACATTGATAAACCACAGACGACACAATATCCCGCTGACCAAGATGCCCCACAAGTTAGCCAATGTGCAATGTGTTGTGTAGATTTGTAGGCTATGTAAATCGAGTTCAATGTATTATGTTAATCAAGCAAATCTGATTTAATATAATCAGTTTTATTTCTTAAATCAATAAATTAGTAATTTGTTGAAATTAATGTATTTAATATTAAAACTTTCTTGTTCGTATTCTTAAAATCGTTATAAAAATGTATGTTTTGATGCAACGATTGAGCAGTCGTTTTTATATCAAGGGTGATACTACAACAAAAACATACTCTTCTACAACTTATTATTAATTTTGTTTGATTATAAATGCCATATTTCTGCTTGATTTAAAACTATTAAAAATTAAAACGGTATATTTTATGAACAAAAATGTGTATTTGTTTGGTATTAGTGAGAACTGAATGTATATTCGAAAATAGCCTTTACACGTAAATTATGTGCTTGTAGTACTTGTGCAGATATGAATAAGCATGTATAATGCAGAAATTAGAATAATATTTAATATTTTATAGCATTAGTAATTAATGATTTTTTGGTTATTTTTGAATTCGTGCAAAGGCTATAGAAACAAGTAGCAGACAGATTTATAGTAAATTTTACATAACTGCAAAAAATAATATTAAAAAAAAAATCATATTTTGTTTTTGCATTTGTGATCAATAATTAATTATTGAATATGGAATTGAAAATTTAATGTCTGCAGTAAATACAGTATAGTAAATTTTATTCAGACATAATTGTTTTACGATATAATTCTTGGTTTACACAAAGATTTATATGGTAGCCTAATTATACAATATTAAACGCGAGAGATAACTAGTATCTCCGGAAGCTGTAAATAAATTCAATATTTTTTGTACTAATTGAAGATTCCCGATTTACATGCACCAAATTCCCAAAAATATTGATTCAACTAAAAAATGCAAATAATAAATATAATAACCACAAACAACAAAACAAATTTATGATTTCCATGTCCAGACAGTCTACAATTTAATTTCTGTCCAAACAATTAATTGTGTTAACAATAGATCAGATATGCAGCCAGGTAGTTAAATAACTACTTAACTATTTTCAACCTGACTTTTTTTTAACTTATTTAAATATGTATTTAAATAAAAGGAATAAGCAAAATCTAATTGATTTTTTCTATAAGTCTGCCTGATTTTGCATTGGGAATAAGTTGCATCATACGTGACGATAAATACTTTTTCCGGAATAATGAGTTTTTTTGTTCTGGAATTTAAATATGTTGAATTGTAATTCTGATATTTTTTTCAAAAACTAGTTATTATATATATATATATATATATATATAGACATTTTTGAATTTTATTTTTGAAAAATTAGACATTTTTGCTCTCAGGGGCTTCAAGATTGATAAAAAAAAATCTGTAAAAGTTTTAGCTCTTAATATTAACTTTTAGATAGTGCGAAATTCAATCGACAAATGAATTAAAAGTGACAATTCGTGACATCTTTTATTGAAAATTCGACGCTCTGCAAAACATTTGTTTGCTAAGTTATATCTAAAAATTTTTTTTTAATTTGTGAAAATTTTTCATACTATTTTTATACAAAACTTTGAATTGCGAGCTATCTATGACACAATATTAAGAGTTAAAACTCATAGAGGCTTTTTTTTATCATTTTGGTAGCATTTGAGCCCCTGCGAGCAAGGAAATTCGAAAATGTCCATATTAAGGACCACCCTATATATATATATATATATATATATATATATATATATATATGATAGTTATATATATATATATATATATATATATGTATACATATGCGCGCGCGTGTGTGTGTCGTCTATTTGTGTGCAAAAATATATAGTAAAGAGTAGTTAATAAGTGACTTATTAATTAACAACTAAACATTGAAAAAAAAATATTTCAAAAATCAAGTTCTTTGGGTGGGCCACTTTGTTATTTAAAGACATGTTTAGTTGTATACGTTTTTTACGGCAGCGCCGTACACATTTTTATAAAAAAATGGCAGTAGTGTGACTTGTCTTTCAAATTAATATATGTATATATTTTAGAAGCAGTATGATTCCACTTTTAAATTTTCCCGCCTTTGACTTTTCAACAACGTGGTGTTATGCCGTACAGATTGATGTATTCAGATTTGTAAAGGTTTTTATTTTCATTTATGATGTAATAATCGCAAGTGCTATGTGACAAAATTGTTGTATCGTTCAGTGTGGAGCTATCGAGCTGCATATGTCTAAATATTTTCTTGGAACTGTTATGTTTAAAGTGCAAAATTTGTTTAGTGTTATGAGTGTAAAAAAATGATTGAACTTTTTCCTTCGTAGAGAAAATCTGGCCCGAACAGCAGCATATAGATCAATCAAAAGCTAAACCATTCAATAGCTAAGCGGTGTAATAAATAATAAATTTATAATTGGGAATGGTAATATAAAATACACAATAACAGTAAGAATGTGATAATTTCATGAGCAAAAATGTAATAAAAATTTATTCAGTTTTCTTCAGGAAAAGATGGTAAGTTTTACTGTGATATCAACACTAATTATTATTAACTTTTAAAATTTTATTGCGTGATTTGTATTTTTTGTTTATGTATATATTAGCACAATTTATAATTGTAGAAATAGAAGATTGAAGACTACCTTTTAGAACTAAGTTTTAGAAGATCTTTTAGTTCACTGTTTATTTATTACAATTAATATTAACTCTTTCGCTACGAGGGTCGTTCATAAACGACATCCACTCGATTACCTGTGTATACGGAGACGACATGTTGCGTGTCGGACTTTGATTCAAGATTCATCACTATGAATTAAGCTATTGGTAATTTTAATTTTCATTGTAGTTTTTAGTTTAGGCAAAGAAAAATTCACCGAATTTGAAGAAAAATGTTTCCATGTACATTGCCAATGTTAGATTTCAAAAATACAAATTACATTACATTTTGATTTTATAATGGTAACTATTTGTGGGGTATTTAAAAGGGAATTTAGATGAAACAAAAAATGTGGCTCAAATTATATTAACAAAATTGCAAGAGCGTTTAACTAATACCGATTAAAAGTCGAAACATATACTGCTTTAACACGTTCGCGAACAGCAAACGTTTCGGCAAGGCACAAAAATTGACGCTTATTTTAAATTGATTGTGAAATTTGATTAAGCGCCGTTTCTAGTCAGATTATCATATTTTAATCGTTAACACTAGAAAGACGGACGCAGTCATTTTGACTGTTTTCCATTTTCAAACATAAAAATAACTATGTATTTGAAGTCGCAGCTTCGTGAATTTTTTTGACTTTTTATACAACATATAAATGCGTAGATAAATCGTATTATTTGCTTTATCTCACTTTTATTTTCAATATTCTTACATGTTATGCCTGCATGGACGGAAAACAGTCATTTTGACTGTTATAGAAATTTTACATTACAAACGGCTTTGTTATTGTATTGCAAATCGTTACCTCGCGTGCATTCATCTCCAATATGCGATAATGCATTTGTTATATAAGAATAACCAAATTTTGGTAAGTATTGACATTAGACCGGTCTTTTTCACGTAGTAACTTTCAGTATAAGGCGTTGTTCAGATGATTTTTTAGAACTTATAAATAAAATGTCGAAGAGAAGTGAATTATTGCAAAAGCTAACAAACATAAGTGAAGAGTGTTCCGACATAGAATCAAATGCAGAAAATTGGGCACAATCATCAGAAGATGAATCGGATTATATTCCACGTGAATCATCTAATTCTGAGGGTAGCGATAAAGGTGATCACTATTGATGAAAATGAAAGTGCCATCAGTGTATGCAGGAGGGTGCTAAGTGGCTCAGGAACTGATGAAAGAATTCAAGAAACGAAAACCTCTCTCGATGGTACTGTATGGACCAAAATTGCCGAAGGTGGTACTCCAGGAAGGTCATCATCTGTGTTTTCAAGGGTGTGAAAGGGCCAACTAGCTTTGCAAAAAAGAATATTATTACAGGTGATCTTGTCAGTGCATTTTCATTGATAATAGATAATTATATTATCAAACACATAAAACAGTGCACAGAAGAAGAGGGCAGTCGAATTTTGGGGTACGATTGGACAACATCGTTACCGGAAATACGTGCATTTACTGGAATTTTATATGCTCGTGGGGCCTATGAGGCAAAAAATTTGAAATTGACTTATTTATGGTCAGCAAAGAAAACATGACAGATCAAAGGTAAAGAAAATATACCGTGAAATCCAGTTCACGTAGATGACCCCTGCAAATATTTTTCAATATTTTGGATTTGGCTGCGATAAATGCCTGGATTCTTTACAAAGAAGCGACAAGAATAAAAATCCAAAGAAAACAAATCCTTGGAGAACAGTTTTTGTTTGAATTGGCAGATCAGCTTTCTGCGGACTACACGACATCAACACAAAAAAATCAAAGAAAAATGATGACCCACAGACATCATGCAAATACCAGTAGTAATAAAAGAAAATTTTGCCAAATAAGACTTTGTAATAATAATAAAACTAATAATACGTGTCAAAGTTGCAACAAACATGTTTCCGGAAAATGTACTCATAATAAAAAGATCTCAAATTATATTTGCATGAATTGTAAAAATAATGAACTTTTTTTTTCAGATGTACTATTTTTTTATTTTTAGCACTCATAGATAATTTGTATAAATGTAAATAGTACATGAAATATTAAAAATTAATTTTAAACAAATTTCTAAACGCATTATTTATTTTTTTCACGACGCAGTCATTTTGACTGTTTTCAGGCAATGTAGGTATACTCAATTCGTCCGTCTTTCTAGTGTTAAATACCATAAATGCTATAGCATCCACGTCGAGTATTCTTTTTTACTATAAGGAAAGATAAAATAATACGAAAATGCCTTAAGAATCGGTTAGTGGCTACTTTGACAGGTATAATAATTACAAAAGCGTAAGGTTATATGAAATTAAATTCAAAATAATTGACTTTAAAATTTGAATGCTATAGCATTCATGTCAATCAGCATCACAATAAAAAACGTGTTAATAGATAAAGTCAAATATTTGTAGTAAAATGTTTTAGTGCCGATGCTTATGGTTGATATTCAGTGCTGAAGGAATACAAGGTTCTGATAAAAGTAATAAAAATCTCCAAATTTTTTTGAAGATATTTCAAGACAGCTGGAAGGCTATGTTTTCGCTTTTATTCTCGGGTGTTTTGTGTTATTGTTACAGTTCTACAATACGTTTGACGTTCTAGCTCTATTGACCGAGGCAACCATTCACTAAGTTGTTAATAGCCGATTAATGGATTGGAATTCTAAAAGCCGCCTATTAATAGTTCAGCAGTCGATTGTTTCAGTTTAGATGCAATATCAATAGCTTCTAAAACAAATTGTCTATTAGTATAATTTTTAGCTGAATAGTCCAATGATATGAAATGATATGAAATGATAAGGACAATAAAAATCAATATATATTCTTTAATCTAACCATAAAATGTTACGCGATTTATCCATTACTTAATTATCAATAATATTTCTCGTATGATGCAACTCGTTTATAATGGCGTGTTTAATTGTTAACGAACGATTATTGTGTGTGTCGTGCATTGACCATCGTGAGTGGGCGTTTTTTGCTAGTACATTTTCGCCGGCGGGATCGTCGTCCGGGTTCACAACGCGCGACGGTCTGCCCACCTTGCCATCGTTATTGCCCTTGCACTTCCAGTACACTTCCTCCAAGTCCTTCGCGAATCCTTGGAAGTCCGGAATTATGAATTGGTGACGGAACGCGCGCGCTATCAGCACGATGTTCGGCGCCACCACGCTGCAAATGATATACTTTTATAATATATCTAAAATCAAAATTAACATTATTGCACGTAAGAACAGTTTAATATAATATTAAGGTGACCATACGTCCCGGTTTGGCCGGGACAGTCCCGCATTTCCACCTTGTGTCCCGGGTTTTTTCAAAAGCAGTATATGTCCAGGATTTAGTTCATTTGTCCCGAATTGTCCCGGTTTTTCGAAAATTGATAGAAAAATTAATAAAATTTATCGAGACAAATTATTTGAGATTATTTGAGACAAACAAACATATGCCATTTGTTTTCAAATTAAGTACGAAGAAAATTAAATAGAATTTTATACAAGACTCGAGCGATAAAACATATAGATAAAAAAAATATAAGATATAATATAATACCATAGTTAATAAATGTAATCAAATAAAAAAATCCGCAATTCTGATTCAAAAAAATGATTCGTATCGTATCCTTACCTAGCTCCGTCCCTGATAAACGTAAGTAAAAATTGCCATCCCGGATTTGACAAAAAAATATGGTCATGTGTATTTACTAGCCAGTGCCAGACCAACTTTCTTTGCCCATAAAAAATATTTCTAGAAAATTGTTAGTGTAAAAACTCTGATTGTGAATGTAGAACTTCTACGCACTGCATACCACATATTTATATTTATATTTATATTTGGGATACAGTATTAACACTTTCAGGACGGCACCGATTTCAAAACAATCTACTTTACCGGCTGTAAACTTGATTTTATTATGTATGTTATGCAATTTGTTTGATAAAAATTTGTGGTTATTGAAGGACATACATTTATAATAATAATTTATTTTTGATCATTTTATAAAGAATGGTGACGTTCAAAACAATTTCTAAAATGCATAGCTGGTTGATTTTGACATGTTTTACAATAAAATGTTGTTCGCCGCCTTCCACCTAGTGCTTTTCTGTCAGAACAGACAATACAATCCCTTTTTCTATCACTCGCATTTAGAATATGCCACTGATTAGTCAGTATATTTGGTCATTTTTTGCTGCCATAACGGTTTATTTTTTCTATTATATTGTCTAATAATTCATTTATAAAATAATCTATTGGATGTTTTATATTGCTTGGTATTTGTAGTCGGGGTGTTTGTTGATGTATGTCAAACTCGATTATTGAAGGAGAATCGGCACATTCGCTAATGTCTTCCCGCTCTTCATTTAGTTTATCGAACTTTTTCTTCTTTTTGTTGGTTGGATAATATCATCATCACATTCATCACTATCATCGGTGCGAATGGTAATTTCGTAAAATTTGTCTGTATGAATGTCTATTTGAAACCCATCTTCACTACTGCTTAATTCACAAAATTTACCAGTCGTTTTGCCAATGTAAAAGCGCTCGGTCGTTTTAAATATTAAAAAAAACATATAGCAAAGAAAAAGGCTAACAATACTACTAAAAGAACTTAAATTTTTTTCAAAATACAATAATGTTTATCACTGCTATATGTAATTTATTCAACTTTTCGATTCAAACTGAAACACTGTTTATAAAATAGCGTGTGCCTCACAGAGTATGTTTGTCCACTGAGGTGGACAGCCGTCCCCAAAGTGTTAAATTTAATAATTACAAAAAATAAATTATCTTAATTGAATTTATTAGAGTAAAACACAACTCTAAAGCAATATTAAACCATACATTGGTATTATCTAATAACTTGAAGAAAAAATGTTATAATATTGAGATAGTTTATTTAAGGCTTGTAGATCTTGAGATTCATTTGATGGTAAACGAAACCTTTAAATATCCGTAACGCAATTTTCATTTAAGTCCAAAATTTGGAAAATAATAATTAAGGGCAGTCTCAAAAAAAGAATATAATATGAAAATAATTGTAATGATAAAACACTTAGAGTAGAAAAATTTCCAAATAATCTGGAATAAAAATTATAAAAATATGGAAAAAGGAAAAAATAATTGTAACTGTTGAAAAAAAAGTCGTATCAGATATTATTAGTAGGCATTCCTTATCAAAATATTATTTGATATCGAAATTGGCAAATTTAGAAGTATCGAAGAAACTTGGGCTTTTAAAAGCTTAACGATGGTATTGTGAAAATGACGATCACTCAATTCCCTAACATATAGTGGGAGTAGATTAAAAAGATGTACTCCTCTTTAGTTTATGGTATTGAAAGAAGTTTCAAATTTAAAAGTTGGTCCTTTTATAGTCAAATTTCCTGTATTATAATAGGAATTCGACATGGAGGATAAGTTGAAGCGTTCAGGATTATTCTATATGTAATTAGCAAAAATATACAGGAGAACAGTGAGAATTTTCAATTGTCGGAAATATGAGGACAAGGAACTAGTGGAAAAAATATTCTTAATGGATTGTTATTGCAAGTGCCAGAAACTAAGGGAAAAATTATTTTTAATGAATTCTTAATCATACAAATGTTAATGGAGCATATTGATAGTTATTGCAAGTGCATAATCTGACACTGATTTCATTTCAATTGATTTGGTACATTTGGAGGTTCAAGGTTTTGATGTATTATTACTGCGCTTTTCATTATTCAATCATTTTTAAATTACGAAGCAAAATCCAAACATCCATTTTTGAGTTATGGCATGATTACTAATCGCGCAAAGTTTCAGAAACTCTGTTGAAGAAATACAGCTTGGCCATAGGTTTGTGTAGTACTCAGTCACCTCTAAAAATCTGTTGTATCTTCAGATTTTATTATTCTCCATTAAAAAATTAAAATAAAGAAAGGAGATCCCAAAAATTTAAAACAATAGCGTTAGACATGGATAAACCTTAATTAATAATAGGTTTTTTGTACTTTAATTTAATCTTTAAGTTACACAAAAAAATAATCGAAATTCAGTAAAAACATTCATTGATGGAAATTAAAATAAAGAAAGTTGTTTCTAAAAATTAAAAAAAAATGTTATGAATGGATAAGAGTTAAAATAAGGTAACCATACGTATCGGGTTGGCCGGGACAGTCCCGGATTTCTACCTTGTACCCCAGGTTTTCCTAAAATCATTATTTGTTCCGAATTTTGAACTTTTGTTACGGTCCTGGGTTTTTACATAGTATAGGATTAAACTGAATCTGCACAATAAAATTACAACGGAAACTTTACGAGAATTAGCAAAAATTATGAAAACGAATTTTTTCACTACATGGCACAAGTGCTTATTCATTACTAACAATATGTTAATTATGAAAAAGATCAAAACATTTTTCATAGAAGACTTAAAATCGAAAATCGCATAGATCAAAAATGTAAGGTAGAATGTAACCTAACACATAACCGAATAAAAAAGTATTAATAAAAGTCAGTAATTCTGAATTGAAACATTTGATTTATTTAAAAAAGCTGATGTTTATTGCATTCATGAATATAGTGTTTGTTATTTTAAATCATATTGAAGTCATTTAGCGTAATGCACCCTCTCTCCTGTTCCGGATTAGCAAAACAAGTTACAGCCCCGGTTTTGACTTAAAGAAAATGGTCACCTTAGTTAAATCAAAATCGCCGATGCATCGATTACAACTTACAGAAAACTGGATATACGCTATATAATAACTCTAAATCTAAACAACAATCATTCATCCATATGTCTTCGATGGGGTAAGACTAATGTTACTAAAATATAACAAATTTAAAAATCCACCCTGATATTTGTATTACTCTTGCTAATAACAGCATAGTTCAAGAATACTGTTAATTAAATCCGATTTCTGCTATTATGCAACATTTGTTATTTTGTAATAAATTTAAATTCCTAATGCATTGAAAGTATGCAATTCCAATTATATACTTTCTTAAGAGTAAGCACGATATTTAGTAATTAGTAGAAAATTGAAAAAAAAATTATTGGACAACTAGCTAGTAGTAGGTTTTCTATTTTTGAAATTTTATAATAGTAAAAATAAAACATCAAGATGGCTTAATCGGAGAAAATGAAATATTAAGTAAACATAAGACACAGAGTGCAATATCTGAATGCAAAACTGTTTCAAGAGATCATGCTGCAAAATGGCCTGATTCTAAATATGCTGGAGCCAACTAAAATCACTAGAGTTGTCTTCGGTAAATATCGAATATAATTCTATAGATTAACTGAAGATGTACAAATAAAGGAAACCAAACCAAGTAATATTTTTCAACTAAATTTTGATTTAATTTTGACATTATGATCTTTGAGCTATATGTTAATGTACTAATTAACATGAAGTTTAAATTCAAACCTTCTGAACGTTTCCCTATCCATTTTCTGCGTTTCAGGAGAACCGCCTTCGAATCCTGAATTCCTGTGCACCACGGCGAGATTTTCCATCATCTCTCCGATTCGCGGGTCATTTTTCCTTATCCCGGTTGTGCGCAATGCCTAGAAACAAAAGTAGAAAATGCAGTTTCATTTTAAATTTAATATGCTTATATGTGGATCATGTCTTGTATAAACTTTTTTTTATTCTCTTTATTGAATTACAATCTGTCTTTACAAAAAGGAAGACAGTCAGTCATTTTGATGATATATGAAATATTAAACATTAGATCTAAAAGGTTACCCAGTAGTAAGCCTTTTCAATTTTGATATATTAAATTTAAATTTTGTGATTAAATAGAGTAAACTTAAAAATAAAAAGATCTATGAGGTAAATGAGTATAAATTGTGAATTATATCAACAAATAAAAAAGACAGAACTAATAAACTAAACACAATAAAAATAAATCAAAATATAAATAAACAACTAAATAAGTAGTACTGCTAATTAGAATGAATATATTATATATTATGTGGAAGTCAATGTGTCGGATCCGTCGAGGGGGCGTTTTCTTTTTAGCCGTTCGATGCCGTGCGACTTCAATAAATTCTTGGCCTAATATAGAATATTAGGATGGTTTGGTACTCTGCTCTTATATTTTTGACTAATTAATTAAATTTCTTCATTAATTTTAGGTTAGAGTAGTTGATGTTAATTCTATAAAAAAATTGGCAGAAAATTCTATTTATCGACACATGACGATAACGTATAATAATTGTGTGATGTGTGAGAAGAATATGTATAGATATATTAATATATAACTAAAATAACTATATAAAACTATATAAAAATGAAAAAAACTAGTGAAATTAAAATAAAAAAATTAAAAATTGAAAAAAAAACTAAACTAACATGGTATCGTGCCTTTAGACAAACTGCTAGAACTTTCCATACCATTATGAAGAATTCGAAAAATACTAAATGATTTTGAAATGATTTATTATTGTAAGCACTGCAACTTTATAAGAAATATAAGAGCTTATAACTTGGACGACGACGTTTATATATGTTTACATAAAAAGTGAATAATCAAAACATAATCTAATCGAGCGGAGTAATAATTAAAGGACCTTATTTCATATTTATTATTTCATAATAAAATTAATTTTATATATTTTACATTATATTACTTCAATTAAAAAAATTAAAATGCATACCACAATAAGAAAAATAAAATATTGTTTTTATTACATTTCTTATAAATTCACAATTTATTTTTTCTATTTAGATATTTTTTAATCATTATATTTAAAAGTGCGCGTTACGATTAATTTAACAAAATGTTAATTTTATAGTTAGAAAGAAAATATAGTTGAATCGTAAACACCAAAGTACATTATGAATCATTAATGAAGTAAGTAAATATGAATTTATTTCGTAATTTATTTTTATCGGTTATTGATCAATATATACAATCTAGAAATATGATTTTGTTTATCAGATATTTTCTTCGGTTTATTGTAAATAATTTACATCTTATCGATTCAATCAATAATATTATAATTCAGTTGGAACTTACAATTAGTCATACGCAAAAATTCTCGGCAATATAATTCAAACAACTTATTATAGTGCCAATTAAATGCAAATAAAGTTTTGAAATAGGAATTAAACAATCGATAAGAAATTACAAAACTAATGAGTTTAAAATACATCAAACAGTTTACTCATACTTAATTTATTTATATATGTATATGTATATAAATATATATTCTTGGAATGTTAATAGCCATAATCCCAATATAGACACTAATTATGTGTCCAACCAAAAACAAAACAAAAGAAAATAATTATTAGTTGGTATCATTTTAATAATGAACAGAAAACCATTATTGCTCGTTATAAAAATCATAATAGTAATAATATATAATAAAATTATGATGCTACTTTCTTCATTTCTCAATACAAACTAAAATTAAAAAACAGCTATAAATCATATTTCTCACATTTTTTCAAAGTGTTATAATTATTTTTCTGGTTATGTGTTCTTTGTTAAACAAAAACTATATAAAACTAGTTGGTATTGGTATTTTTTGGCTTGAGGCAAGTTACACGAACTTAAATAAATTAATTCATGAGTGATTAAAAGTATTCCAAGTGAATTTATTGCACATAATTGAAAACAAACGAACACGTTAACTTGGAGTATTTTCTAAAAGCAAATTTTCAAAAATCAACAATTTTTATAATTGAACCAGTTTCTGTAGGACTTTGATAGTTTAGTTTAGTATGTTCATTAAGAACATACCAAGTAAAGCGTCTAATTTTAATTTTAACAAACGTCAAAAAAAAATTACTCATTTTCTCAAACTTTGATGAATTTTTAAAATTAAACTACTTGTCGTAAGGCCGTAATATTTCAGTAAGTTTAATAAGGCCATGATAGTTAATTAGATAGAAAACGGTTTGGTAGATTTTCACCTAACCAGTATCATTCCCAACTAATATCTTTCGAACAGTGTTTGGTTTTTTAAAATCGATTCGGTAGTATGACCTTAAATGTGGACGAAAAGTTTAACACTTTTTTCCAAATTACAAAGAAACGGCTCGGCAAATCGTCGCACAAAGCTGACAAACGATAGTTCTCATTGAGACACATCAAATGGCTTTTAAATTGCTGAAATCGGTTCAGGCGTTTTTGAGCAATATATATGTGTATATTTATGTGTATGTGTATATACAGGGTGTACTAGAACTCAACGTCAAGCTGAAACGAAATATTCATAGTAACTACATTGAAAGAAAAATATGCCACGTAGTTTGGAACTCTGAAATTATGTACTCAAATTTGTTTCTTCGCATTCTTTTATCATAAAACTATCAAGTACCATTAAACAATCCTAAATAAATGCGCAAACTTTTGATGAACTTGCCAAAACACTTTCAATTTTTTTTAAAGACTTATCAAAGTTGACCAATTTTGAAAATTTTAAATATATAGTTTAACAAATGGTCTTAATTCGAGAAAACTTGGAGCAATTGTGTTATTATTTTTTACTGTGGTCTTAGAAGTATTATATTATTTACGATTGCAAATCCTAGGCTTAAATGAATAAAATTAACAAAATTGGCCACAATAATCGAAAAATGTTTAGTTTCAGCAAAGCTCTAGCACTTAAAAATTTTATGAAGCTAATTTAATAATACAAACTACATGTAATATGTTTTTAAATTTTTTTCATGGTAGTTGACGTTGAGTTCTTGGACACCCTATATATGTTCAGGACAATTATTAAAACATTGAAACCGTCAATTGAGCAATTTTAGTTTAAGTTGCCTTAATGAATAAGTCGTAAACTTGTCAAAATTTCTTTAATTCCTAGTCCTGCCCTGCGTTTAATATACCCTGATTTTGTTATCTCCGATATGAATTAATTACAGCTTTCGCTGATGCCAAATTTTCATATTTCGCGAGTCGATAAGATAGATATTTGCAAATAAACATTTCATTTTCATTCCCAATCGTAATCGCTCATCCGCTGCACACGACGGTTTAAATTTAGCGCCGAAATTTCAAGGGCAACGCCAGCTATTATTGGACGAATGGATAAAATTATCGCAGGGATTAGTTTGCTGCGTTCGTAAAGGAAAGTGCTTTAAATATATTTTCCTGCTTTTTTATGTTCTATTTGCGTATTTTTTATAATACAATTTCTCTCGAATAAACTTTAAATTCATAGGATTGCTGATCATCTTAACAACTCCGCAAACAATTTGTTAGTTAATTCCAAAACAGAATGGAAAAGGTTGGTGTTAATTACCTTCCCATCGAAAAAGATTTTGTTTATAACTAAAACTGGTAGAAAGTAAGATTCAATATAAAGAAGTACCTACTAATATAACTGATATAATGGGAACTGCTAAAGATTTTTTTTTAATTCGTTAATTATTACATTTATATTATGGTAAAGTGAGGTGTAAGGTATTTAAATGAAAAGATTTAGTACCGGAATTAAATCATCTTAAAATAATTATCAAATAAGGTTAGATGAATTTTTATTATAAAATTTCTTGAAATGTCTTTAGTATTATAAAAGTCAGCATTTCCAATATTATATTGTTTGACTGATTGTTTTCAATATTGCAAGACTTAACACGCTTTATTCGCTTTCTTATTAAGTTATCAATATACATTAATGAAATTAAATTTTATTTTATAGTAGTAAAGCTTAGGGTAGTCAAAGTTTTATTTGACGCGCTATTCATTTTCAATATGTCGATCCGACAATATTGTTGTCGAGGCTACGTTTCATATTAATTTGTTGATACCCTATAGCAAAAAGTAATATTAGGTTTACTCAACAAAACAGTTACAGCAATGCTTTCAGAATATCCTCATGTAGAGCGAGGCTTAAAGGTCCGCGGGTAAAAAGGTTCACCATCGATATCTCAAAAACAAGAATTGTTAAGAATTGTTCAATAACAATATTTGATAGTAGAGGGAAAAAGAAGAGTGGCCAGCCATCACCGTGATTCCTACGACTTTGCTATCGAGAGATATACGGCAATGTTTGAAAATCCATAGCAAAAGTATTTTCGTTCATTGTTAGTTCTTTTTTATTGTGAGCACTTTTGTTTAAATTACGAGACCTTAATATAATTTTTAAGTCTACATTATTTAAATGTTTCATAAGATTTATTGTTATTTTTATATTGGATTCAATAGTTTTTTTTTTTACATATAACATTTATAAAAGCTTCCATGTGGTTGGAATAGAAAGGATCATCTGAGCCTTTATCCTGACAAAAGAGAAAACATTAAAAAAACAAGAAATAGAAAAGTAAATTAGGTTGCAAAAAGAAAATACAGAAGAGATAAGTTAAATAAATATTGATTCCAACTATGCTGATATTTTCTGACAAAATACCAGATCAAGGTTATATACAGTGTCATCTATCTAAAAAAAATGTATTCATGTTGGTTAAATAATGTATCTATTATTTAGTAAAATCTTTCCAAAATTAAAAATAAGCATTGTACCTGTTTCTCCCTAGCTGTCCCGTTTTACCCCGCATATGAGGTAAAATGGACAAGGTGACTAATTTTTGAAAAACAACAAAACCAACAATTGAATTTTTACAATGTTGAATTAGCTGGGAGTTTTACTGAACATAGTCAGATAGTTGTTTGCTTGATATGTGTTATTTGTTATCGGATAACTTGGTAAATTCAGTATTATCCATTTTACTTGAAAATACAAATCAAAAATAGGTTTGAAAAAAAATAGCATATTCAGACTCTGCAATATTATACAATTTTCGCGATTCGATTGTTTTGTCTTTTTCTCAGCGTTATTTACAATTTTGACATATTTTGGTTGACATGTTTATTTTCAAATATTTATTACGACTTATTAGACTTGACTAACAGATACCGAGATTCGTGAAATAATACGTATTATCTCATATACTCTTGTTTTTGCAAAATCGCACTGTATTTTTCACTCTATCCTTAACATCTGCGTTCAAATTGTACAAAATTCTCTATTTTTAGATGACCTCGATGTGTTTACTTTACTAAACTAATAGTGATTGTTTTTTTTTTGTTGATTAGTGACAAAGCTCGAAGTTGAGAAAAATAACTATTTTTCGTTTGCAATGAATGTTATGTTCTATAGATATATAGTTAAAGTTCGTAAAATAAACTTTTTGTTTCTTTCAGTGAACTTAATTACCTCGAATTTCGTTCAAAACTTAATTTAAAAGTTTTATATCTTCTCCAGCTTAATTAAATATTAGTTCTACAGCTTAGTTAATATTACCATATTAATACATCAAATAGTTTTTAAGTAATCCAAAAAGCTGATTTCACTATTTCATTCTATTGATAATTTTTTGAACTCATCTTAGATAGTTAATATTAGAAATGTTAAATGCAAAGCTTGAGTTTAAAGATC